TGTGTCTCTTCTGCAGCTCCGACTTCATAAGGGCCAGTGCCTTAGTGTCAGCAGTGGCAGAAACCAAGTCATCGATGTACACGAGGATGTAGAACGACGACAGCGAAGTGTCGGTGCGCAGAAATAGTGATGGGTCTGAAGTCGAAGGAGCAAACCCAAGAGCCGCAAGCGTCGTCCTCAGTGTGTCGTGCCGCTCGCGAGGCGCCTGGCGGAGACCGTAGACTGGCCGTTTGAGGCTCCACTGAGTACCCTCAGGAAACGTCCCTGTAAAGCCAGGTGGGCGGCGCAGCCAGATCTCCTCATGCAGGCTGCCTTGTAAGAAAGTTGTGCTGAAGTTAAGTGAGTGAATCTCGTAGTCATGCTCAGCGGCGACATGCAGCAGCACTTGAAAAATGGTCATCTTCGGGGTACAGGAGAAGGTTTGGAAGAACTCAACTCCCTGTTGCTGAATAAAGCCTCGTGCAGCGTAACGAGCCTTGAAGACAGGCGGAGAACCCGGCGGCCGCTTCACCCTGAAACTCCACTTGCCCATCGACTATATTCACCCCAGGAGGGGGAAATGCGTCGACATAAGTGCCTGTGGACTTCTGGGATGCCATCTCTGCGTCCATGGTTGTCTGCCACTGAGAGGAGTAGGGACCCGTAATCGCCTTTGCGTAAGAGCGTGGGGTCGGGATGTCTAGTGCATGCGAGTCTCCCTTAAGTGCAAGGAGCATGGCCACGAGATGAGGTACAGCAGCTGCAAGACACTCAAAGTCCTCCTGCCTCTCCTCAAGGATGTCCGTGCCAAGAGCACACTCATCCCCGACGGACGGAGGACAGTCAGACTCAGACTCAGCAACAAAGCTAGATGCGTACTCGAGACGACACGTAGCAACTAAGTCAACAAGCTCAGCAACTAGGGCTGACGCAACAGTGGACTCAAACAAAGGGTTAGTGACAACAGTGGCTAGAAGACGTGTGACAGTAGGGCTGGCAGCACGAACCAAGTCAGACTCAGGGTCCGGACAGTCAGCAAGAGAGAACGCAGGAGGAGACGACAGAAGGACACGTTGTGAGCAGAGGAAGGACGAAGTGCCATATTGTAAGTGCCGGGAATAGGAGGAGGACGCGGGCGAGGAACACGGCGACCAGTGCGAATAGCGCGAACAGGCGAGGCAGGACAAGATGCAGGCTCACGACGCTCTGTAAGAGAGCCTGTTTACTCAGTGTAAGGAGAAAGAGGAGGCAGTGAGGAGTGTGACTGTAACTGTGGCTGCGACTAGTAAGGTGGTGGACACAGTAAGGGAGGAGTAAGGCCAGTAGAAGACGGGAGACTAAGAACCTGGCGAAGTGCCGAGCCAGGTGGCGGCAGAGACAACGGCAGCGGTGGAACGAAAAAGGATCGCCGCTGCACAGTGCCACCAGCGCCAGTACCGCCAGCTCCAGCGCCCCCAGTGTCAGCACCTCCAGCTTCAAGGCACCCAGCTCCAGCACCTCTATCTTCGGTGCCTCCAGCTCTAGCGACTCCAGCTCCAGCGCCTCCATGTATAGAACGTCTAGCACCTCCAGCACGAGCAGCGCTAGCACCTCTTGCACCAGCAGCACCACCAGCTCCGGCAGCTCCAGTACCTCCAGTACGAGCACCTCTAGGACCAGCAGCTCCAGCACCTCCGGTACCTCCAGCTCTAGCGCCTCCAACACCAGCAGTACCACTAGCACCTCCACGACTAGTAGCTCCAGCGCCTCCAGCCCCACTGCCTCCAGCGGCAGGGCCTCCAGCTCCAGCAGCGCCAATCCGAAGGCAGGTGTGCCGAGAAAACCACTCGTGCAGCTTCTGCGGTGAGAGAGGCTCCCGCCAGCAAGACTACCGTGGCGAGGCACCCATAGGACCTCTGGCAGACGCAGTACCCCTAGGCTCAGCACCCCCAGACTCAGTACCCTCTGGCTCAGCACCCCCAGGCTCCACACCCTCAGGCTCAGCACCCCCGGGCTCCGCACACTCCGGCTCAGCACCCCCAGGATCCGCACCCTCAGGCTCAGCACCCCCAAGCTCCACACCCTCAGGCCCAGCACCCTCAGGCTCAGCACCCCCAAGCTCCGCACGCTCAGGCTCAGCACCCCCAGACGTAGCACCCCTAGCAGCACCACCCCCAGCAGCACCAGAGTCGACAGAGACCTTGAAAGGCTAAGACAAGGGGAGTGGGTCTTTCTGAGACACACCTGAAGGAGCAGGACCTTTAGGGGGAGGGGGTCCACCGGAGGGGGACCTAGAGCGAGGAAGAGCAATGGGGGGGGGGGGGGGGAGGGGCAGTGCGGTAGTGCGCAGATCGACACATCCCAGGAGTGGTGGTATTGACTATCGCATCCTGGAGGGCAGCAGTACTCACCAAGTTCATGGAGAACGAGGAGGGGTGAAGACCTCACAGTGAGCCAGACGGAACCGCCGGACACGGGAGAATAGCGGAGGAACGTGCAAGAACCGGGCTTGTTGAGGGGTCGGCTAGAGAGACTGCAACATGTGCGCGGAGTGGTGTGACTGTGGTACTGTCGCGAAAGAAGCAGCGCGAAGCACCTGAGTCAAGCGTGAAGGTGTGCAAGGCCTCAGTAGGTGCAATACCAGAGAGATTAGACTCACTAGCGCCTAGAGCAGCACCCTCTGTACTTGGGTCGGGCGGCACACACACGTAACAGTCACCCTCAGAAATAACAGTGAAAGCATACATGCCAGCAAGAATTGCGTCATAATCAAGAGCAAATATATCCACATTGTTCATAAGCAGCTCTAGCTAGCACGGGAGCTCAGCCTTGTCGCCAAACTCTGCGCGCCAGCGTCGTCAAGACAGGAGAAGCAGGGTACTGTGTGTTACCAACCTTCCCGCATGTCTGACCAGTGCGGTCAACTGTGCGACTGACGTACGTACAGCGAACACTACCCCCAGACGCCCCACGCTGAGCAAACCACTCACAAATTTGCTGGGGCGTAATGGTCTCGCGCGGACGCTGCTGCTGCTGCCACTGGCCACCGCCAGAACCTCTCCTCTGAACGGCTCCACCCCGACCGCCACCACTGCCGACGCCACCACTTCCACCGCCGCCACCACTGCCGCCACCACCACTCCCACTGCCGCCACCACTACCACCACCACTCCCACCGCTACCACCACCGCTGCCACCGACTCTTCCACTCTCACCACCACTCCCACCGCCACCACCTCCACCTCCACCTCCTCCACCGCCTCCACCACTGCCTCCACCGCTGCCACCCCCACCACTCTTTCCTCCCTTGCCCTTGCCGCTGCGGCGCCCTCCACTAGGAGCAGACGCAACCCCGACCTCCTCAGCATGAAGGAAGTCAATAACAGCAGCAAAGGCGAGAGGAGGAACACCCCTCAAAGAAGGGAGTGCGAGGAGTACCACGAGCAGCACCTATAGCGCCTATGCTAGCCTCAGCTGCAAGTCGGTGCTTCCCGAGTAGGTCGACAGTGAGGTCTGTGGGGTCAAGGGCGAGAAGGAGGTTCCTTACTGCACAAAGAGAGTTAGGGAGGCGGGTGACGATGAAATAGAGAGTGATGTACATAGAGGGGGGGGGGGGGAATTCTTGTCTAGAAACTTGGATTTAAGCGGCACGGTAGCAAGTGTCGCTAGTGTGAAGGTGGTTGATGAGGTCGTCGACTGTGGGAAAGGCTGATAGCTCGGGAAAAAGGTAGGGCAGGATAAGTCGGCCAAGAGCATCAGTGGCAGGGGAGGAGTAAAGAGCGACTTCAGCATCGAGCAGTGCTTTAGCTGTCTTGTGCTGGCCAAAGTGCGCGCGTTCGGCTAACGACAGGTGGTTGCGAACGGCGAGGCGAGCAGTAGCGTCACGGGTAAGCCACTGTGAGCAAGTCGAACTGTCAGCTATCTCAAGAGGAGCGAGAGAGGTCCCAGATGTTTGTCAAACAAGGAGTCACCGTCCTTAGACTCGCTCTGTAGGTACAGCTGTAAGTCGTCTAGCAAGGTTTCAAACTGGATCAGACGGCCCTCAGGATCGAAGGTGAGAACACTGAGAGAAGCCAGAGCGGGCAAAGCAGGTTGGTGCTCGACCAGCAGGGCAGCACGCAAGCAAGGCAGGGCGGGGCGCAGGCAGCAGGACGGCGTGACGGGAAGGGCGGCACGTGGGCACTAGGGAAGTGCACAGGGCAGGGTGGGTCGGCGCACGGCCAGGGCAGGGCGGCGCGTGGGCAGGGCAAGGCAGCGCGGCGGCCAGCAGGGCAGCGTGCGGGCAGGGCAGGGCAGCGCAGGCGGCCAGCAGGGCGGCGCGCGGGCAGGGCAGCGCGCGGCCAGCAGGGCGGCGCGTGGGCAGGGCAGGGGGCAGCGCAGCGGCCAGCAGGGCGGCGCACGGGCAGGGCAGGGCGGCACGGCGGCCAGCAGGGCAGCGCGACGGGCAGGGGAAGGCAGCGCGCGGCCAGCAGGGCGGCGCACGGGCAAGGTAGGGCAGCGCACGGCCAGCAGGGTGGCTCAACGGGCAGGGCAAGGTGGCGCGGTAGCCAGCAGGGCGGCGCGTGGCCAGCACGGCGGCGCGTGACCAGAAGGGCGGCATAACGGGCAAAGCACGGCGGCGCGGCAGTTAGTAGGGCGGCACGTGGGCAGCAGGGCGGCTCGATGGGCAGGGCACGCAGCGCGACTGGTGGGGTAGCGCGACGGGCAGGGTAGGGCGCTACGAGCAGGGTAACGCGCTATGGGCAGGGAACTATTCGGTGGGCCCAATAAAACGGTCCTGGAACAAGACTTGCTCTGATACCATGTCAGAATAATGAACGAGAATTACTGCATTGAGTAGGAAGTTGATACAAGTACTAACCCTAATTGGGTTGTACCCCTTATGGGCTACCCCACTACAGCCTACACAATATAAGCATTATTACATTTTGAGAGAAGCAAGAGGGGCATTGGGGTGGAAGCAAGAGGGGCATTGGGGTGGAAGCAAGAGGGGAAGACGGGAAAGGAGAGAGCACGTGTGGACACGTGATAGCATAGCGTTGCTACACCACCCCATCAAACACACACTTGATTGCTCCTAGCAGGCGGTGATGAGAAGCATCGATGAGGGGCATTGGGGTGAAAGCAAGAGGGGTGGAAGCAAGAGGGGGATACGGGAAGGGTATACCGGAGGGAGTGAGCACTGGTGAGCACACAATAGCACCACCCTCTCGAACATACAATTGATTGCTCCTAGCAGGCAGTGATGAGAGGTATTGATGAGGAGCATTGATGAAGGGCACCCACACACCCACGTGCAGCACCCACACACACACACACCCACGTGCAACACCCACACACACACACACACACCCATGTGCAGCACCCACCCACACACACACACACACTCAAGTGCAGCACCCACATACACACACACCCACATACAGCACACATACATACACACACTCATGTGCAGCACCCACACATACGTACACCCACGTGCAGCACCCACACATCCACACACCCACCTTTGGTGCCCACAGGCTCGCGAATGCGCCCCCTACGACCGCACTTGGTAAAGAGCACCACTGGCTGGCGAGGGGGACGAGGGAGAGGGAAGTGAAGAGAGGAAGGCGGGGAGTGGGGAGTGGGAAGATAGTTGGTTGCTGCACATATTGGTTCCGAGTGAATGTGTCCCCTTCGGCCGTACTTGGTAAAGTGCTCCACGGCGCGTGGGAAGGAGGGGTAAGTAAAGAGAGGAGAGAGGAGAGAGAAGAGAGGGGATTGGGGAGAGGGGAGTGGGGAGTGGGTAGAGGGGAGTGCGGAGTGGGGAGAGGGGAGTGGGGAGTGGGGAGAGGGGAGAGGGGAGTGGGGAGTGGGGAGAGGGGAGTGGGGAGAGGAAAGTGCTGCGCATCGTGCGTTGAGAATGAATGCAGCCGTCCGGTCGTACTTGGTGAAGAGCTCCACCAGCTGGCACGAGGGAAGGAGGGGTAAGTAAAGAGAGGAGAGAGCTGAGTGGGGAGCTGTGAGAGGGAAGTGCTGTGCATCGTGCGTTTAGAGTGAATGAGGTCCCCCTTGCCACCTGGTAAACAGCCCCACCAGCTGGTTAGAGGGATAAGGGAGGGGGTGCTGGAATGTGGGAAAAGAGGGAAGAGGGCTGGGCGTAGTGCATAGTGCAAATACAACCACACCGCCGTACTTTGGTGAAAAGGTTCGATAGAAGAAAGGGAGGCGGGGGGGTGATAGAAGGTGTTCTGAAGAGGAACGGAGGAACGGGGGATGAGGGACGTGGCATCCCTCTTCCCCCCAACCCACTCTCTTTCCTGTTTGGAACCATCTGACGTGGCACTGACCTGGAACCATCTGCCATCCTCTGGCTGGTGGAACATGTAGTGCACCACTGCCTTGCGCTTCATCACTGACGTGGGGTAGCTGCACATGGGGTTGAGGGGACCGGGAGGAGGGGGACGGGGAGGAGGGAGAAGGGGAGGAGGAAGGGAGTGAAAGCATGGGTGCACATCTATCTACATGTGAGTTTGCCAACAACTTCCACTGCATCACTGACACTCTTCACCTTGCTGCACCCCAGGAGAAAGCACCTATCAATCTAGTCAAGAACAACCTGTCTTCCATATGAGTGCCTTAGAGAATAACATAATGCCCCTATGTTTCATAACGCCCCAAAGTTTCATAGCACACCGAAGCACTTGCTTCTCTCGCAACTCAACTCACACCGACAGAACAATCTTCTTAAGGATGATCAGATTGGGGTCCGGCCCTCTTAAAGCCCTAGTTGCCGCCAGCTGCAGCTCCTCCCCCTCCCACACTCCCTCCCCCCACGCTCCCTCCCCCCACGCCCTCTCCTGTGTGCTGATTGGCCGAGGACGGATCGACGAAGACGAGGAGGGGGTGCGGCGGGAAGAGTGTGGGTGCGAAGATGGAAGCTACCGCAAACCTTCCCGGGAGTAGGAAGCGCTCGAACTTGTGCTTGTCGAGGTTGATGTCGTCCGTTGAGAAGGTGGGGCTGTGGGGGGGGGGAGGGGGGAAGGGAGGGGGACTGGGAGCAGGGGAGGACAATGGTTGAATGCAAAGTCCAACTTCAAGGGCAACACCCGAATTATTCAACAGAAGTCAACGGGGGAAAATAGGTTTGGGAAAGCAGAGGTTTGAGGTTCGAAAACCTCCCCTAAACCTTTCTTTCCCGAAACCAGTAGGAGCGAGACACAAACTGCCTCCAGTTTGTGAAGGCCTCTTTGTAATTCGGGGGCTGGGTTTTATGCTTGTGTTTCTCGATTGGTGCTTGCTGAGATTGATGCCATCCGTTGAGAAGGTGGGGCTGGGGGGGGGGGGGGGGGGGGGGGGGGTTGGAAGGTGGGAGGGTGTGGGGAGAGGGGGAGCACAGCGGAGTGGTTGAGTTGATCATAGCGCAATGCCAAGTCACAGCTTCAACTTGTTTCTTGAACTTGTCCTAGTTGATGACGTCCGTGGAGAAGGTGGGGCTGGGGGGGAAGAGGGGGGGGGGTTGGGTAGCAAGGTGGGGAGAGGTTGGGGTGGGGGGTTGATGCCGTCCGTTGAGAAGGTGGGGCTGGATGGAAGGATTGTGAAGGGGGAGGGAGGGGGGGACAGGAGGAGGGACAGTGGTGGATTGATAAGGGTGGAGGAAAGGAAACCATCGAACTTGTGATTGTCGAGGTTGATATCGTCCGTTGAAAAGGTGGGGCTGTGGGGATGGGGAAATGGGGGAGGGGGAGAAGGGGGACGTAAGGACATTGGTTGAATGCAATTCACAGTTTGGCGTGTGGGTGGGTGGGGGGAGGATGGCTAAGCGGGAGCGAGGACCGTTGGGAGGGGAGGGGGGAGGCGAGGAGGGATAGTGACTGAATGAATAGGGCACATAAACTTGTGCTTCACGAGGTTGATTTTGTCTGTGAACGCGGTGGGGCGTAACATGGTATGATTTAGAAAGTGATACGATGTGTAGATTCGGAAGGTGTGACGTGGTGGGAGGAGAGTGGGACAATATTTGAATGGAAATCACAGCTTTAGCCCGTGTTTCAACTCGAGCACCACCAGCGGCACTGGCTGAATGTACCAGCACCATCAACAGCAACCAGCGCTGACTGAGTGTAGAAGCGACGGAAGCCACAGTGGACATGATGGGGGCGGGCTACACCACCACCACCGACACTCACCACCACCAAACAACAGTTACACCACCACCACCACCACCACCACCACCGACATTCACCACCAGCAAACACTAGTCACTGCAAAAGAAGGAGCAGCACCACCACCACCACCACAACCATCACCCACGACCAACACTCAACGAGTGCAAAACCTTCGGAAGCTGCAGTGGAAGAGGAGGTTCTGCTTGGACTTGATGGGGGCGGGGAATGAGTTGGCCGTCTTGACTAAGGCGATGTTTGGACTTGATGGGGGCGGCGGCACCACAACCACCAGCAACGACACTCACCACCAGCACCCATAATTGACAGCATGTAGAACCACTCACCGCGTGTAAAACCGTCGGAAGCTGCAGTGGAAGAGGAGGCGCTGCTTGGACTTGATGGGGGGGGCGAAGGAGTCGGCCTTCTTCATTGAGAAGTGCAGCACTGTCATGCACGTCTCGTGCTGCAGCAGGCCCGTCACAACAAGTGGCAGCCCACAATTGGTCGACTCATGCGGCAGACGCTCTGAGGAAAGGGAGGGTGGGGGAAAGGGAGGGGATCAGGGAAAAGAGGGCCGGGGGAAGGAACTGAAAGAACCCAGGAAGGAAAAGCAAGGCTCTTGGGCATTAACTTGGTGTTTGTAAATGAAGAGAAGACCACGTAGCCAGTATAATGGAAGCAAGGTGTACAACAAGGAATAGGATTATTGAATAGATCGTAATACTGACCGCCTGCCTCCCCACCTCCACGGCCCTGCAAGATGCATGCATGGTTGCTCACTCACACACAGTTTTTTTTTTTTTTTTTTTTTGGGCTTGAAGGAGATCCCTGGAGGAAACCAACCCCCCGTAGGGAGAAGGCGCTTCGGTAAGCAGCATTATACCGGATGTGCATTTAGTTGCTAAAACCCCCATTGATCACCATAAGCGCATGCCCACTCACACACAAATGCACACAATGCGGTTTAAACAGTGCAATGCACACTGCCAAACACATGCACATATCCAACGGGACATCATCATCATCGATAGCAAGGTTCATAGAGTACCTGCTTCGAAGCATGGCACGTTCATAATGTGCAATCAGACAAACGTCCCCGCCCCAACCGACCCAGGCACCTTGCCTCGATCCACTGCTGCCACCCGCTCATCCAGGACCTTCTACATCCTCTTCCAGTTGTCAAAGGAGAAAATGCGTGCGTATTCGGGAGGGAGGGACTCCTGTGGGCAGCAGAGGGAAGGTTGGGGTGGGGGAAGGGGGAGGGGAAGGAAGTCTTAGTTAAGGGAATGTGTGACATGCTGCACTGCTGTCCTCTCCCCTTGTTGCCTTGTGCGTCCTATTCCAGTTGCCCAAGGAGAATATGCATGCATAGTCAGGGGGGAGGGACTCCTGTGAGTGGCAGAGAAGTGGAAAGCACACTGCACCAGACACCACCGCACACAACACCTTGACACGGCCACAATAGCAGCAAGTAACCCACCTTGAGCAGCATATTGCACACTACATCCACCAAACATCACACCGCACAGCACATCACCGCACAGCACCTTGGGGTCCCACAGCGAGGAGCGGAAGGACTTGAGTCCGCGGTACTTGGCAAAGCGCTGGCGGGCCGGGATGTCGTCAGGTGTGTCCACCTCGTCGGGAAATTCTGGAGCAGACGGAGCAGAAGGAGCAAGGAAATAGATGCGGGAGTGGGAATGGGGGAGAGCGGACGGGGAAGGTGAGGTTGGCAAAGTGCTGGTGGGCCGAGATGTCGTCACGTGTGTCCACCTCGTTCGGAAATTCTGATTGGCGTGGAATGGGGGGTTGGGGACACAGAGAATGGAGGGAATGAAGGATGGGGGAATGAATAAGGTAGCAAAGTTTGGCAATGCGCTGCCGTGCTGAGATGTCGTCAGGCATGTCGACCTAGTCAGGGAACTGTGGAGCAAGCACGCAAAGAAATAGATGAGATGTCTGATGGGAATGGGGGAGCGGGAATGGGCGAGAGCGAATGGGGGAGGTGAGGTTGGCAAAGCGCAGGCAGGCTGGCATGTCGTCGGGCGTGTAGACCTTGTAAGGGAACTCTGGGGTGTGTGGCGATAACAAGGGAGATAAAGAATGGAGAGGAATGGAGACGAATGGAGAGGAATGGAGAGAAATGGATAGGAATGGAGAGGAATGGAGAGAAATGGAGAGGAAGCCTCTGTGATTGTACCAGGTTCTGCCTGGAATTGTCTCGAGCGATGCCTCCCTTGGGGGACACTCCTGTCAAAATTTGGCTTCACTTGTTTCCTGTAGCACAGACTGGCATTCCTGGGTGAATGTAGATAGGCACCCAAACTTAGTTTGGGTTGCAAACTAGGGTTTATCCTGGTTTGAGGTTGGGTTTCAAGCTTGGGTTTGGACATGATTCCCCCTAAATAGTATCAGCTCACTAAGACCACAATGACTGTCCCCTTCCCAGTGACCTAAATGGTCCTGCTGCTGATGTTGACACTCTTATGTGATGCTATCATTCGCATTCACGTCTGTCTGCCTCCCATCATATGTTCGTGCGTTGCATACGTGGTATGAGCGTGTGCAAGAATTTGTGTTTGGTGTGGTTTGGATTCTCTGAGTTTGTGTGAATGTTATTTGGCTTGAGCAGATATCTGAAGTGACTCCTCTGCTCAAGAGCGTTCCGCCTAACCAAGTATCGCTTCAATCGGAGCACGAACAAGAAAGTTACGAATGTTGGAAGTTCGTATCCTGTTGATATTTGGTTGTGGTGACTATGTGAAGTTGTGGGGTTGACTCCATAAGGGGTATAGACTTTTTGGGGTTGGGAAATTCGTCAACATCACTGTAGATGCTGCCAAGTGGTTGGGAGGAGCCAAACCAGGTTGGCAAGTGTGGCCAAGTTGGGTAAGGTGGATGGCATGGGTTGGGAAAGTAACAAAAGTAAAAGTGGGAGGGGATTTGATGTGCTTATGGGGTTTCCTTGGTTGGAGACTCCTTGGGGACCTTCCCTCTCGTCCTCCTCCTCCCTTTCTACCAGGTTTCTAGCTACTCTAACATTCTTGTGTAAACTTGTGAGTTAATTGTGATTGCATTAAGATTCTATGGCAGCATACCCCCCTGTGCGCCGAAATTGATAAGTCGGGTTATACTTCACCTCTTGATACAATTCAACTTGAGAATTGTAGCTACGCTGCAGAGATACAACATATCCAAGATTGGTGAATTTTTAACGGTGATGTTTTTGTCGACGGCGTTTCTTGTGAAGTTGACGATTATGTCCAGAAATTGAGACCAACGATTTTGTGATATATCGGTCTCTAAGCTTCCTAGACTCCGTCCTTAGTCTCTAACAGACACACCTTCAGCCGCTGCATTCAAATTCTCTCAATGTGCTCAAACTGAGAGAGTTTACCTATTCCTTCCTACCCTGATCCTCAGCATTCTCATGCCCTATACCACACACCCTGAATCTGAACCCCACACCACACCCACCTGGTCCTCCAGCTGCTATGCCCTCAGTCGCTTCATCTCCTCCCACTCTGCTTACGCCCTCATCTCCGCCTTGCCCTCTGCATCCTCCTCCTCCTGCCACAAACACAAACCGGGGGGAGGGGTCAGTGACGATGTCCTCATGCCTCTGTGTGACGGGTTTAGATGGGTATTTTCTAAGGCTGCCTCTTATGCCTCTACTCCTTCCTATCCAGCCAGAAACCCAAGGGGAGGGATGAGAGGGGAAGGGAGAGGGGTTTTTCTCATCCTACATCGCCCTCATTGTACCTCGTTGAAAAGGTGGATGACAAACGGAAGGTCGATGAGAGGTGAGAGAGAAGGGATGGCGGCAGCATGAATGCAGGGAGTTGAAGGGAGGCGTAACAATTGGCATGAAATAAAACCAGCACGCACCATGAGCCCATCAAGGTGACTTTTGAGTCGACCCAAAATGCACCATGAGCCCATCGTGGGAGCTGCCTCCCTCTAGCCTCTCTTCTCCTACACCTTTCGGCACCTGATATCAGAGCATACGTGGTAACTGGAGGTTCCTTTGGGCACCCGAATGCGCCTGGCCCCACCCTTCCCCTCCTTCCCTCCCCCCTCTCCCAGAACTTTGCTCTCTGCTCTCCTCCTCTCCTCCGCCTCTGCTTCTGGGCCCATGAAAATGAATCTTAAGGAGCTAACCGCTCTGCAACTATGTCAAAAATGAAGCAACCGGAACAAGTAAATTGAGCAGCAATGGGGATAAAAGTATGGACCCTAGACGGGTTGTACCCCCTACAGGATGACCCACTACAGCCTATAACCACAGAATGGGTTTTGACAGCCCCAACCCAAGTACACGAGATGTCAAATGCTGTAAAGGTGCTGAAGCGACAGTGCACTTTTGACATCACTAGCGTGGTAAGGGGAAAAAAAAACATCTACCTATCCAACAATGTAACATTTTCCATTACCGTGGTGCTGCTGTTTAGTTTTTGGAAATGTGTTTTTTTTTTCCCATTTATGATATTTTTCATTACTACATCAACAATCATCATCGGAAATGTTAAATAATCATGCTCATCGTCACTGACGTCCGAGCTGTCTTGAATTCTCCCTTCCCCTTTTCCTTGCACTGTTTGACAGAGGCAGGTGTTTTCGCCTGCCGTCTGTTGCACGTGCATGCACTCTCACTTACTGAGATTGCATCCAACTAAATATGCAGCTTTGACAAGCCTGCGAGAGGGAGAAGAAAGGATGCGGAAGACAAAAAATGAGGAGGAAACAGACAGTCGCTCCATTCACACTCGACAAGGCATGCACCAAGCTACACAATGTGGCGGACTAAACCACACGTGACATAGCATGCAACACATCACGCTCACACCTTTTTGTGGTGGGGTAGGAACGGGCCCTTCTTCGCAAGACGTGCGATGGTCAGGCCCTGCTGGCCCGTGCAGCCCTTGCCGGTGTAGAATGTCAAGCTCTTGCACATGGCGTTGCCCTTGCCAGCTCTAGCCTTCGGGGCATCCCACGTGACGGTGATCTTGGCATTGCCAATTCTGGAGCTCAGGTCGCTGCACACGGTGGTGGCGCTGGCCTGCTCTGCCGGCACCGAGGTGGAGAAGGTGAGGCGCTCCTTGATGTTGCGCCCACTCAGCTGCATCGCCGTCTGCACCATCGGGTCTGAACGGCCGTCACGGCAGTTGGCACAGTGATTGATGTGACGATGCCATGGCCGGCCGGTAAAGGTGGGGATGGTGGCAGTTTGTAAACGTTGAGTTGCAGGTGGGATAGGGGAAAGGAGAGGAAGAGGATAGACAGGGGGGAGGGTGCGGGAGGAGTGAGGAGACGAAACCAGCTCAGCAATGTGGCAATGTTTGCTGAAATGTGTTAGTTGTAAAGAAATGTATCGTCAACAGCTCAGCAGTGCAGCACTCACCGAAGCACGTCTTGTCAGGCTCGTTAAAGAGAAAACCGTCCATGTTGCACTCGCACACAGGATCGGTCCCATACGCAGTGCAATCATCATTGGGGCCACACTCCTTGCCAAAGACAACACACAGGTCTGCGAGAAAGTCACAGGTGGTTTTGATTGAGTGGGGCAATGGGACAAATGGAGACGAACATAACTCTTGCTTATGGTTGTGAACTCACCACACATGCACACTCACCCCCACTCGCACACTCACCCCCATTCTCACACTCACCCCCACTGGCACACTCACCCCCACTCGCACACTCACCCCCACTGGCACACTCACCCCCACTCGCACATTCACCCCCACTCGCTCTCTCACCCCTACTCGCACACTCACCCCCACTCGCACACTCACCCTCACTCGCATACTCACCCCCATTCGCACACTCACCCCACTCGCACACTCACCCCCACTCCAGTGAATTAGGGGGGAGAAGAAGATTGGACGATAAAAGGCTAACGAAGAAAACTTTACAGTTCACTTGGAGCAGCGATAGCTGATTCTAGCCTAGCAACTCTTCTCTTCTGACTACATGAGAGCATAGCTCACGAGTACACATAGTGCTCCGCAATAGCTGATTCAACCGCCAATACCAATACCACTTCTGACCCACTCCCATGCCACTCCCCACCACTCACCATAGCATGTCTTGTCCGTTTCATTGTAGGCTTTCCCGTCGGGGCAGATGCACTCAGCAGGGCTGTTGGGAACAGGAGCCATGTGCATGCAATCAGCATTTGGCCCGCAATCCTTCACGGCACACGCGTCCGCAGGGAAGCTCAAGCACGTTCCGAAGTACATAATAAAAAGGGGGTAGGGGTTTGAAACTTGAGCAAGAAAAAAATGTATTTTCTTGCACTTACTCGCCCACCCTCACGCACTCACCTGCAAAGCCACACCCACCTACACTCGCGCTCTCACCTGCAAAGCCACACCCACCTACACTCGCGCACTCACCCGCAAAGCCACACCCACCTAGACTCGCGCACTTACCCGCAAAGCCACACCCACCTACACTCGCGCACTCACCCGCAAAGCCACACCCACCTACACTCGCGCACTCTGAGCACGTTGAGCGTGAGAACAAGACGCGGGAATGGAGGAGGCGAGAGGGGGTGAGGACGCGGGTGGGAAGCGAGGGAGGAGAAGAAAGGAAAGGAGAAAGCTACGAAGGAAGGAAGAAAACCAATAGATTGAGAAGAAACAGCAGAGTCTGACCAACTCTGCATTCATGAATGCGTGAGAGCACAGGTCAGTGATGATGACTTCTGAGTTGACTCAAAAGTCACCTCTGAGAAGCAACGGCTGAGTTTGACTTAGAAAGGTACTTACCGAATGTGTGAAAGCACAGGTCACTGTTTTTTTCTCAGCCAGTCACTGATTCTTCTCAGCGATACCACATTTGACCCGCTCATCTGCACTCACTCGCTCACCACCACTCACTGTAGCACGTCTTATCTGTTTCGTTGAAATTACTGCTACCATCGTCGCACACGCACTAAGGAGAGCCATTACGATAGAAAGTGCAGGAAGCACTCAACCCGCAATCGATGCCAGCGCACGAGTTTGCTGAGCAAATTCACGGATGGATTTTTGGAAATGAAATCCGGAAGAGCAGGGGGGGTGAATGAAAAAAGGGTCAATAGCTACGACCTTCCACTTACCTCACCACATTTTAGTTCAAACGCACAACAACCCAGATGCTATGTGAGAAACAGGAGAAGAGACGCAAAGAGCAAAAGGGTGGGAGAGATGATGGTCAGAAGCATGAAGATGGAAGACAGTGGGAAGCACGAGCGAGCACCCCTTGGATTGGGTGTCACGGTGGTGTCATGCCGGTGTCATGCATCGCAAAACTAGCTTGAGTAGTTTTCGTGTGGAAAACCACTCGCTGGCAAATAGAGGGGGGAAACCAATAGCCATCGCCTCGCAAGCCTATAGATTTGGCCAATGGTTGGCTACTTCCAAGGATTTCGGGCGAATCGAATGCGTGTAGCCACAAGGTTCGTCCGAAATCTAGTTGGGTTTGAACTGTTTTCGAGGCACGGGCGGTGAGTGTTCGGTTTGGCAGAGGCTTGGAAATGCCTTCGATTGATTGCGAACCAATCATGAGCTGCATGTTCCCAGGGATTTGGAACTCGCCAAAACGGGGAGGAGCCGAATTAGATTGTTTGAAACTATTGCTGTTTATATCGACTTGTACATTTCGTTTAATATAAGATTTGTAATGACAATTTGTTAATGTTGTAGCTTGGAATGGAATCTCCATGTAATAATTTAAAGCAGCAGAATTGTTCGTGTCATATGTTTCCAGCACAAATACAATTCCATAATTGGATTAATTATCACAAATTAACCATTGAAGCATATTTATTTACTATATTGATATCTTTATATGATTGAGCTCTTTTTTTGTTGGACATGTGGCAAGTCTAAGACACTATTACCAAAAAAAAAAAAAACAAAAAAAAACAACAACAACAACAACAATAACAACAACAACGACGACAACAATGACAACGACAACAACAACAACAACAACAACAACAACAACAACAACAACAACAACAACAACAACAACAACAACAACAACAACAACAACAACAACAACAACATTGCAGCAGCAACATCAACAGCAGCAACAGGAACAGCAACAGCAAGAGCAACAGCAAGAGCAACAGCAAGAGCAACAGCAAGAGCAACAGCAAGAACAACGGCAGCAGCAGTAGCAGCATTAGCAGCAGCAACAATAACAGCAGCAACATCAGCAGCAAGAGCAAAAGCAAGAGCAACAGCAAGAGCAACAGTAAGAACAACGGCAGCAGTAATAGCAGCATTAGCAGCAGCAATAATAACAGCAGCAACATCAGCAGCAACAACAACGACAACAGCAACGACAACAACAACGATAACGGCAATGGCAACAACAACATCAACACCATGTATTATTATATAAATAGATAATGTATAAAGGTGTAAAATTTCTAGCTCCATATAATAAGAAAGAGTTAAAAGGCATTTTACTATCGCATGAGAAAATGTCATGAAACTGGAAGTTGACAGTACAATAATTGGGATATAAATATGTATATGTAGGACTAAAACGTTAATGAGAGCTAATACTGTACATAAATTAACTCCAAGTTATCACTGAATTAAGTTTTTTCTGATTAAGTTATTGATGAATTTGTGAAAATATTGGAAAAAACAGTGACAACCGCACCATGCTCAGAATTAATGTGCCTACGGTCAGGTATCGCCTATATTTCAGACTATTTGTGCTTTTTATTATGGCTGTTGAAAAGAGATATTAGACGCAAAGCGGCTTCTAGTATGGTGGGTCTCCGGTTTGAACAATGTCTGTACAATAGTATGTTGAAACTGCACAGTTGTAACATTCACCACATTTGTCGAGCTGGCAGTAGTTTGCAAGCCATATGTATTTGTCGACCTGGATAAGTATTTGTACAATGTATGTCAGCATAGATGCCACTGTAACCAATCGTTGCTCCGAAATGCGACAGCGCTGCAAAGTGGAACGTCTAATGTGTTGCGAACACCAATAGAAATTTTGTTGTCACTGCTGAGCCACTGAGGGGCCGAATCAGAACCTTCGACGCCACGTTTGCGGTTGCCTTGCTGGTTTCAAAACCTCACCCTGTAAGCTAGTGGCAGGTTTCGTCGCGAGGCTCTGATTTGTGAGGTGAGGTGCATGCACCCAGCTGCCTACCGGTCCCATCCACCAGCTCCTTCGTCACCTCGAGCTCGTTGTTTTTGCAGCAAGCTCCAATCTCTTTTTTTCTCATCGTCGAGCTGTTAGAGAAGTGACTCAAGTGACTCCAGGTTTTCTCCTCCTCACGCTCGTCACTCGTTCCTGGCTTAGCTCCTCAGGTTCGCGACTTGTTATTACGTTCGCGACTTTAATCTCTTCTGAGTAACTTCCCACCTCTGTTAATGCACTCGTCGAAGTGCTTTAGGTCGCCGACAAAATGACAGCGTTTCAAGGCACGTCTTGGAACGACAACAACGACATCTGTGCAAGGCAAGGCGTTGGATGCAGCTGCTCTAACATCCTCATTTCTCGGCACTGGTAAGCCTTCTCGTATGCTCCACTAATTTCCCTTCTGAATTTATGAATCTTGTCGTCGTCTCGTTTCTTTGTTGTTAGATGCTGATACATGCAGGCGACGTGTGGAGCAGATGTGAAGGTGGCCTGCACAAAATCGTGTGAAACTAAGAGGTGAGCAGTTAAGGCAGTTAAGTCAGTTATGTGTTTCTTTTGTTTTTGCTTCGTTCCAGACAATCGTGCCATTTTTTATGGGCTCAGGTTAATGTGTGTTTGTTTTTCTGATGTTGCAGATCGAGGATGGCGTATGTTTAGGTTTGGCAGACTGTTACATGCGTTCTGCGTTGTTAGCATGTCTGTGGTAAGCAATCGTTTTCCTGCATTATTCTCTACTAACCGGAACTTGCTTTTGTTGTGTTGGTGTTTGTTCCTGCTTCAAATGTTTTGCGTGCAGCTTTGGAATTGTAGTCTGATCCCGTGCTTGTTGATGCTTTTGTACTAGTGAGTAATTTAGTACGTAGTGTCAGAACATATATGTAGCTTATGCTGTTGTGTAGGCTACAGTGGGGTATACCATAGGGGGTACAACCCAATTAGGGTTTTGCTATTTGTACTCACTTCACTCATAGTTCATTCATTCTCGCTCTATTCTCCACATGGTATCGAGCAGGTTCCCCCGTGGGAACTGTGCTTAGGGCCCACCACTTTTAAACTTTTTTTTTCTGCCCGGAGCGCGCTCCGGGCCCTCGCTCTCACTCTTTCGGCTTGCCCTGCAGGCCCCTAGCCGCCCGCGCGCCGCCTGTCCCGGCCCCTAGCCGCCCGCGTGCCGCCCGTTCAGGCCCCTAGCCGCCCGCGCGCCGCCCGTCCCGGCCCTTAGCCGCCCGCGCGCCGCCCGTCCCGGCCCCTAGCCGCTCGCGCGCCGCCCGTTCAGGCCCCTAGCCACCAGCGCGCCGCCCGTCCCGGCCCCTAGCCGCTCGCGCGCCGCCCGTTCAGGCCCCTAGCCGCCCGCGCGCCGCCCGTCCCGGCCCCTAGCCGCTCGCGCGCCGCCCGTTCAGGCCCCTAGCCGCCCGCGCGCCGCCCGTCCCGGCCCCTAGCCGCTCGCGCGCCGCCCGTTCAGGCCCCTAGCCGCCCGCGCGCCGCCCGTCCCGGCCCTCAGCCGCCCGCGCGCCGCTCGTCCCGGCCCCTAGCCGCTCGCGCGCCGCCCGTTCAGGCCTCACCCCGCCCGTGCGCCGCCCGTCCCTGCTGCACGCCGCCGTCCTGGCCCCCCACGCCGCCCGTTAGCCGCCGTGCAGCCTGAGCCGCCCGAGCCGTC